GCAGCTCCAGGTGGGGTGGGGAGCCTCTTTTCTTCCAAGGTGCTGGTCTGGGAAGATTAGAGCCTAGTAGTAGGATGCATGACAATCACAGGCCTGGGGTGCAGAGGTGCTGCGGGGGGGGGGGGGGGTTCCCCCCTCCCCCAACCACCTGCCCTCCTGACAGAAGCACGTGGGCTGATGGAGGACACACCCTCCAAAGGAAGGCCACTCACTTGTAGCCACAGAAGGGGAAGTGGGAGGCTGGGCTGGCAGAAACAACACAGGCCCTTGGTACACCCCAGGCTACTTCCGGAATGTCTTTCCAGATTGTTCTTCCTTCCCTTGTCCCTTAAGAGAGAGAATTCCCCAACTCCCTCCCACCATTTCTGCAGTACATTCATCTCTCAAACTCTAACCCTGTGGATTTCTATGGTATCTGTGTGTTGCTTGTACCCCTTACACTGGCTGGGCATCACTGTTCTTCCTGGGGTGGGGGGGGGCATCTCCACAGGACGCAGTGGGACGGGGTCAGCACTGCCCAGGCAGCTCCTTACAAATGTGATGGTGTGTTGAAGGCTGTGTGGGCGGGGAGGTGCGGCTGAGGGAGGGGAGAACCAGGCCCTAGGAATTCATCACCCTGCGGTGTCCGGGAGGCTCTGAAGGGCTCTTCATGAGCTCCACACTGTCCTCCTGCTCAGCAGGAGGACACCTATCTAGTTGTGGGTGAATAATCCAGTTAAGCCCCTATTTTCAGTCGACTTTACACTTTGTTTCATCCCTGTAAAACTGTATTGAATAGAACCTAATTGGAATTTAAGCTTCCTTTGATTTATTTCAGCTTTATCACAGTATAATTGACAAAATTGTAATATATTTAAGGTGTGCAATGTGATGATTCGATATACATGTACTCTGTGAAAGGACTCCCACAGCAGAGCTAATTAACACATCTATCACCTCACATCTCGCATATTTATCTTTTTTTGGGGGAGTGAGAACATAAATTCTACTCTCTTAGAAATGTTAATTACACCACATAGTCTTATCCATTAGAGTCACCATATTATATATTATATCCTCATCCTATAATTGAAGGTTTACACTCTTTTACCAACCTCTGGTAAAGGGGTTCACAGGGATGGGATTCCAGACCCACACTCCATCAGTATCTTTTCCGAAATTCCCCCAGTGTGGGAAAGGATGCTTTACACGGAGATGGGCTCATCTCAGCACCCAAACGGGAACCGAGAAAGGTGAAGAGATGTAAATGAGCACAAACCTGCTATCTGGGGTTGAGATGAAAAGCAAGTCCATGGGGAGTAAGAGCAGGTTCCGCTGACTTTGATTACATGAAAAGATGCTCAACATCACTCATTGTCAGAGAGATGCAAATCAAAACCACAATGAGGTACCATTACACGCCAGTCAGAATGGCTGCTATCCAAAAGTTTGCAAGCAATAAATGCTGAAGAGGGTGTGGAGAAAAGGGAACCCTCTTACACTGTGGTGGGAATGCAAACTAGTACAGCCACTATGGAAAACAGTGTGGAGATTTCTTAAAAAACTGGAAATAGAACTGCCATATGACCCAGCAATACCACTCCTGGGCATACACACCGAGGAAACCAGATCTGAAAGAGACACGTGCACCCCAATGTTCATCGCAGCTCTGTTTATCATAGCCAGGACATGGAAGCAACCTAGATGCCCATCAGCAGACGAATGGATAAGGAAGCTGTCGTACATATACACCATGGAATATTACTCAGCCATTAAAAAGAATATATTTGAATCAGTTCTAATGAGATGGATGAAACTGGAGCCCATTATACAGAGTGAAGTAAGCCAGGAAGATAAACAGCAATACAGTATACTAATGCATATATATGGAATTTAGAAAGATGGTAACGATAACCCTATATGCAAGACAGAAAAAGAGACACAGATGTACAGAACAGACTTTTGGACTCTATGGGAGAAGGCAAGGGTGGGATGATCTGAGAGAACAGTATCAAAACATGTATATTATCAAGTGTGAAACAGATCACCAGTCGAGGTTGGATGCATGAGACAAGTGCTCAGGGCTGGTGCACTGGGATGACCCAGAGGGATGGGATGGGAAGGGAGGTGGGAGGGGGGTTCAGGATGGGGAACACATGTAAATCCATGGCTGATTCATGTCAATGTACGGCAAAAATCACTACAATATTGTAAAATAATTAGCCTCCAACTAATAAAAATAAAAGAAAAAGAAAAAGATGTGAATGAGCACAAACCTGCTATCTGGGATTGAGATGAAAAGCAAGTCCATGGGGAGTGCAGGTTCCGCTGACTTTGATTTCTACCCAGTTTTTATTGCTGTTATTGTACTGAGATGCCTCGTGTTATCTGATGGTGATTTTTAAAAAATGTTTATTGGAGTAGAGTTGGCTCACAATATTGTGTTGATTTTTGCTGTATAGCAAAGTAAATCAGTTATACATATACACATATCTGCTTTTCTTTAGATTCTTTCCCCATGTAGGTCATTATAAAGCACTGAGTCGAGTTCCTTATGCTATACAGTAGGTCCTTATTGGTTATCTATTTCATTTATAGTAGTGTATATATGTCAGTCCCAATCTCCCAATTTATCCCTCCCCCTTTCCACCAAGTAACCATAAGCTTGTTTTCTACATCTGTCACTCTGTTTCTGTTTTGTAAATAAGTTCATTTGTACCATTATTTTAGGTTCCACATGTAAGTAATATCATATGATATACGTCTGACTTTCTTCACTCAGTATGACAGTCTCTGGGTTGATGGTGATTTTTATGGGTAAAAGAAGAACACACCCAGTGTGGTTCAGTCTCAGTGGTGGGACAGGCCCATTTAATCAGCAATCTGCCTAATGTTTCATAAATTAAGAACTGGACTAAGGAAAGTCTGCATTGGCTCCCCCTCCTCTTGCATCTTTCTCTTTCTTCCAGAGGGTGGTGGTGGGAGGGAGAGAAAGCAGATGAAATGCAGAGATAAAGGCTGTAAGTTTCCGCTGAGGCCATCAGCCTAGGCTACAGGATAAAGGTGCAGTTACGACAGTGACATCTGCCATTTTTTCAGGTGTGAAGAGATGGAGAAGTGTGTGCTGGAATTTTCTGGAACCCTGCTGCCGCCATGCAGGGAAGTTCAGGCTATCAGATCATCTGAGAGGTTGTAGGCTACAGGTGCAAGTTGAAAATAATCACGTCACAGTTTTGACATCACTTTTTTTTGTTCTCCCCCATGGAGACTGGAGGTCATTTTCTTATCCTCTTTAGGAAGTACTTGGACTCTGTTCCCATTTAAAGTCAGGACGAAGGGGCTAATAAGATTAGTTAACATTTAATGAGTGTTATTTTCTACTTTATAATAATAATCACAGCTAACATTTATTTAGTGATTTTTTTTTCCTTGCAAAAAACAGCTAGCATTTATGGAGTGCTACATATTTTCCAAGCACTGCTTTGAAAGCCTTATATATGTCATCTCATTTCTTGTTACTTTGGAGCTGAAACTATGACCTCCATTTTACAAATGAGGAGTTTGAAACAGAGAGGTTCAGTGACTTGCCTAAGAATGCACAGCTAGTTAAGTGTTGGAGATGGTACAGGGAGATAAGTATTAGTTAATTAAGTATGTGTTAGGGGCTTCTCTCGTGGCTCAGACAGTGAAGAATCTGCCTGCAACGCAGGAGAAACCGGTTGGTATTTGTGTGGGTTAAAGGTGTGTGTGTGTGTGGACATGTATGCAGTATAGATTAAAGTTTTAGTTTCTAGTAAAGTAAGATGAGGCTGGCTAAGGGTCCCTGGATGCTGTGGTGGGGGAGAGATGTGGGGTTTGGTGTAATGGCCCAATGCACCTTGTAAAGAGTTTCATTCATCTCTGAAAGGGTTAAAGAGAAAAGTGGCCAGCATCCTGTGGAGGGCATGAGCTGGGGATGGGTGCGGTTCTTTTTTTTCTATCCCTAGATCACCTTACTTTTTCCTTTTTTTTTTTTCCATTTATTTTTATTAGTTGAAGGCTAATTACTTTACAACATTGCAGTGGTTTTTGTCATACATTGAAATGAATTAGCCATGGATTTACATGTATTCCCCATCCCGGTCCCCCCTCCCACCTCCCTCTCCACCCCATCCCTCTGGGTCTCACCTTACTTTTTCCTATGGGCAAAGAAGATTCAGCTCTAAACAGAGTGTATCGTCTGTTGTACGTTTTGTATTTATTAATATTTACACTGACTTTGAGGGTGTTAAGGGAAGGCAGCTAAGGTATGTCCACACCCTGGCTCTGTCTGCTCTGCTTCAGAACTGCAGGTCATGAAAATAATTCCCAATTCTTCTTAACAGACCGGTGTTAGGACCCAGGAAGGATCCAGCAGCTGTGGGATATAAACAGAGGAGCAGAGCTGAACAAAGTTTGAGGAGAGAGCCTTACATCACTCACTGTCTCCACCCCGAGCTCTGGGGGGACAGACGGAGGTGTAAGCCTGAGTCACACCAGAAGAGCTTAGGCAGAGACGCTCTGACCGGAGAGCCCCAGGGAGCTCCAGACACAATTCCTCCCACTTCCAGGAAAAAGGGCTATGTCCAACTCCGGACCTGAATGGAGACGAATGACAGCTCTTGACAGAAAAAGAAAACCGTGAGGGACCCACGATCGCCCGCTGAGCCTCGCCACTGCAGTCCCAGCCCTGGATCGCTTCTCAGGAGTTTAGATCGGAAGCTGTTTCCTCCTCCACTCATCCCGGGGCCAGTTGGTCGCTCCAATGTGTTTATTGATCACTGAAGACTCTCAAGTTTGGAGACAGGCAAGAAACACCTATTAACTCTCCACGACTCTCCCCTCACTCTGCAGTTCACAAACTCTAGCTAAACAGATGGTGTTCTGCTTTCTGGAACCTGTGACAATGTCCCTTTCCCAAAGAACTGAAAGTTAAAGGCAACTCTTTGTCACAGACCCTCAGGAATTCCACTTGGATCATATTTTCACCTCTGAAAAAAACCATGAAGAAGCTGCTGCCTCTTTGCTGCTGGCACTCCTGGCTGCTGTTATTTTATTGTGATTTTCAGGTAACGTCCCCGGGCGGTGCTCGCTGAGACGGGAACGGATTTCTGCTGGGAGGTCCCTTTTGTCTCATAGTGTGATGTTTTGTGTGCAGGTGCACGGTGCCCACGCCAGGTCACAAGTACATCCAGGTAAGGCAGCTTCCCTCATCTTCTGCTCATGACCTGTCCTCCCTGTCCAGTCCGGGGGTTGGAAGCAGCAGTTGAGGCTGTTGGACAGGGAGCCCTTCTTGGGTTCCTCTGGCCCCACCAGCTGTCCTGACACCTTGTCCCCTGGGTCACTCATCGTCCTCCACCTCTGACTTGGAGAAGCAGGTCTGTGTGCCCCGAGCCTCTCGCTTTGGGGCATCTGAACGCTTGTGATTCAGGAAATGGGATGTTCGCAGGTGAAGCATCTTCTGTCCTTGACTCATGTGCGTCGCCAGCACAGATTCACTTGAGCTGCCTTAGAGCAGCTTTGGTCCCCATCATTTTGCCTCTGCCCGCTTTTGTCCCCATCCCTCCGATGGGTGCTGGACTGCTCCACACCCTCCGAGGAAACCCCTTGCACACCCCCGGGTGGGTGCGCTTTCCCTTTGCCATCGTGAGTCCTGTCTGGACGCGTCACCATGAGGCTTTCCTTGGGGAGGACGCAAGAGGCAAAAAACTTTTCCTTGCTCCTTCCCAGAGAAGGAGGCCGGTGGGACCATGATGGGATTGCACTTACTGGCCCTTGTTCCCATTTGCTGCTTGGCTGGTACATGCATGGTGGAGGGGACCTCACACTAACATCCCCAAGTCTTTGCCTGGGAGCCATGAGAGCAACCCTGGCCTGCGGGTGAGCATGCCTCTGGCCATGATTATTGTCTAGAGCAGCCTGCTGCCTCTACAACCCACCAGAGATGGTGGGCGCAGCATCCCCATGGTGTGAATCCAGGTCCCAGGAGACAGACCCCGGTCTGGTGGGAGCACCAGCGCGGTGCTGGGTGAAGGTGGACGTGGGCTGGGGGTCTGTCTCCTTTGGAGTGACGCGGCCCTCACGGTGGGCACTGGGGCATCCTGTCATCTCCCTGTCTCTGCCTGCAGGTCTCACAGGGTTTGCCGCTTCTTCTTTTTCTTTCTTTTTCTTCTTCTTCTTTTTGTTTTTAACAGAAGTTTATCCTTAAATGCACAACAAGTTCCAAGACAACACTTCTTCCTGGCTATAGGTGGCAACAGACATTTTGGCAGGGAATCCAGGTGTTTAAGCAGAAATGGGCTTAAGGATTCTCATTGCCTCAGGCACCAGGGCCAGCAGATTTTTCGCCAGATTTCTTTATTCCACCTGTGGCCAGGGGCGTTTCCCTGGCAGCTTCACTGTTAGTTCCCCAGGTTTCTTCTGCTCCTCCTCATGTTTCGGCTTGGCTGTCTTATCTTCCTCATCCATCTCCTGCGCTTCTTCTTGGGCTGCTTCAGGGGCTTCTTCTTGCCACCTTTGCAGCTCAACATAGCACCTGCTGCCCCTTTCCCAGGCCCTTCCAGGTTGTGCTGCTGTTTCTTTTTATCTGCACATTCAAGTTCAATCTTCTGATGAAAAGGATGTGAAGGTGGTAAATTTTCGCCGGCTCCCCTTTCCTTGACCAAAATGCTGAACAATCTGGGGATAAATAAATCATCTAGCATCACATTAGAGGGAGGCTGTGTGAGCCCTACTGCTAACCCATGCCTCAGAGCTCACGCTGATTTCCCGGGAGATGAGGGGAGGGGTCTGGCCAGGAACATCAGGCAGAGCGAACAAAGTGGTCCTGAGACCCCAGCCCCATCAGGGAGGAAATAGAGCTGCAGGGGGTTCCCACATTGCGCCTTTGGCCACATCCACCCACATCCACTCGCATCCTAGACTCTCAGCTTCAATGAGTAGCTTGGACCCGGCCTTGGTTTTATAGAGAGACTGTTCCTCTCACATCTTAATTTGGTGTAGATGTTTTTCTGTTGGTCAACTAACTACCTTAGAGAAATCATACTAATACTGACGATCACAGACATGTTACTAAAAAGAAGCAATAGACATTGGAACCTGGGTGGGGAGAGTTTAAGTTCAAAAACCCAGATTTCTGACACATACATGTACACACACACACACACACCAGGCCTTGTTTTAAACAAGCGGGATATGGTGCAAACAGAACAGTCTGTGCACTCAGGTTGCAAAGAGTCTGATAGAGGAGACAGGCAACAAATATACTAACAAACAAAAACTTTCAAATTATAGTGTAAGCGCCATGGGAAGACAAACAAGGGGGTTGGTAGAAAGAGTGGATATTGGGTGATAAAAGGTGATCAGGGCAGGCCTCTCAGAGGGTGTGTCCCGTGGACCGAGGCTTGAAAGACAAGCTGGTTATATGCAGCAAGAGATCAAGAAGACTTCTGGGCAGGGTGACTGTAGGGAGTCCTGCTGTGGAATGAACCCCGTGTGTCATGGGCCAGCAGGAGGGGGCCACAGTTGGCACGGGATTGGCAGGGACCACTTTTCCTCTGGGTGGTGTAGATTTCTGTCCAGTGAAGTCAGGAGAACCCTGGAGACATATATCGCTCCACACATTCAAGGGGTGAGGGCTCCCCTCTACTGACACAGAGAGTAAGTAACAGGGAAAGGATGGAATAGAAAAATCTGGAAGAAAACCTAAAAAGGAAAAATAAAAGCTATTATTAACTTTCTTTCTGAATATTGATACACCTTCCTCCCTCCCCGTCTCACCAAACTGGATCAGTGAAACATTAAATATGGATGAGAAATTATTCCTGAAGAACTGATTTTTAAAAAATGTGTTTTATTGAAGTATAGTTGATTTGCAGTGTCATGTTAATTTTTGCTGTACTGCAAAGTGATTCAGTTATACATACATATATGTGTGTGTGTATATATATATATATATATATATATATATATATATATATTCTTCATCATATTCTTTTCCATTATGGTTTACCACAGAATATTGAATATAGTTCCCAGTGCTATACAGTAGGATCTTGTTGTTTATCCTTTCTATGTGTAATAGTTTGCATCTGCTAACCCCAAACTCCCAATCCATCCCTTCCCTCACTATCCTCCTTCCTTGACAATCACAAGTCTGTTCTCTATGTTTGTGAGTCTGTTTCTGTTTCATAGGTAAGTTCATTTGTGTCATATTTTAGATTCCACATGTAAGTGATATCATATGGTATTTGTCTTTCTCTGTCTGACTTACGTCATTTAGTATGAGAGTCTCCTGCTGCATCCATGTTGCTGCAAATGGCATTCTTTCAGTCTTTTTCATGGCTGAATAATATCCCACTGTTTATATATACCACATCTTCTTTATCCATTCATCTCTCAATAGACATTTAGGTTATTTCCATGTCTTGGCTATTGTAAATAGTGCTGCTGTGAAATAAGGGTGCATTCATCTTTTTGAATTAGAGTTTTCTCTGCATATATATCCAGGAGTGGTATTTCAGGATGGTATGGTAACTCCGTTTTTAGTTATTGGAGGAACCTCATGCTATTCTCCATAGTGGCTGCACCAACTTACATTCCCACCAACAGTGTAGGAGGGTTCCTTTTTCTCCATGCCCTCGCCAGCATTTATTTAGTTGTAGACATTTTGATGATGGCCATTCTGACTGGTGTGAGGCAATACCTTATTGCAGTTGTGATTTGCATTTCTCTGATGTTTAGTATCTTTTCCTGTGCCTGTTGGCCATCTGTATGTCTGAAGAACTGTGTTATAGTTGTGGTGACATAGGCTGGAATTCTGTCTCTCTTAGTTTATTTTTTAGGGCCGGGGGATGTTTTGAAGACCCTGTGTGAACCGTGTTACCCCTCAGCTGTTGTCTTGTAGACATTTAATCTGTTTATTTGGTGAAAACCAGGGTGACTGTACAACACGAAGATTCCATATCACCTTCTTTTTGGGAAAATAGCTGAACTGTCTAATTCACAAAAGAATGAGACCCTTTTCTTCTGACACTTTTAGGGTCATAGATTGTTTACTCTTTAGGTTTGTAGAGGGAATCTATGTGTTCAGGTCAGTTCCTTGATACGTCTTGTTAATACCACACAATGTTTTAATTAAGAAAAAAACCTAAATTGTTGACATTAGCATGTAGGGAGATTTCAATTTAAAAAAATATGGATTTCTGACTTAAAAATGTTTATTTAGTCTTTATATATTTGGCTGTTCTGTGTCTTAGTTGTGGCATGTGGGATCATTAGCTATGGCATGCAAACCCTTTGTTGTGGCCTGTGAGATCTAGTTCCCCAACCAAGAATTGAACGTGGACCCTCTGCATTTGGAGTGTGGAGTCTTAGCCATTGGACCACCAGGGAAGTTCCTCTGACTTCTTTTTGAAAGTGGGAGACTGGCAATCTCTTCCTATGGAGGTGGGATGATTGGCTTGGGAAGAAGTCACTTTCTTTGGACAGGACACTCATTTTCCTCCCCGCCCCAGCCTCCCCTGCCCTGAGACCTGGTAGTGAGGAACTCGGAGGTAATCCAGGTGCTTGTTCCCGGCACCTTTTCTGATCACCTGTGCCTTCCAAGTTGGAAGCCACAGTAAACATCATTCCTGGCCTCCCTGCAGGTAATTCCTCATGCCCCTGGCCCTCATGGATATTTCAGTTTGCACCTACTTCATGACTTCCTGGACAAAACTCAGTGTTGATAGTTACATCTGGGCCATTTGGTGCGTAGCATGGCAGGCCTTCTCCTAATCACAGAAGCCTCCCCGGCCCCTGCAACCAGTGATACTTCCCATCCCTGGGCACTGGCTGGCAGGCGGATGGGTGGCATCTTTCTATGTGAACAAGACACGATCCCTTGATTCTATGAGCCTTCTTGCCCAGGATGGACATGGCCATTTGTCAGTGGAGCTAATAGGGAAAAAGATTTATTACCTACAGGCTTTACTTTATGAGAACGAAGATTCTGAAGATATAACATCTGTTCTTTGCTCAACAGATGTTATTTCCTTTTCCTATTTTTTTTTCCCCAGATGAGTTGAATATCAAGTCAATAATGTCTTCTCCTTTTCAAAATGAATATCCCACATTTTAGAAAAATATTGTAGAAATGAAGATGAATATTTTGATTTTTGCATTTCGTATTCTTACTGTGGAGGTCCTGGAATAGAACCACTCATTTCCCAGAGGACATCAAGTCCCTAACATGTACAAGAGAGTTAGGTGTGCACACAGCTGCCTCTTTTTGGCCCCTATTGTAGAACTAGCTAGGTTCTTGGTCTCCATTTTTGATGCATGAACGTAACCCTGAAGGGACAGCCTCACAGATGCAAACTGAAAAAAGAACCCAATGATCTGGACCTGGGCACATGTTTGGCATCCTGATGGAAATTCAGATATTAGATGGAGTGTTTTTCAGTTATCTCTGAAAATTTCATATGGACATTATCTACAGTCATTTTAATCGTGAAAGCAAGACTTAAATGGTTGTTAAAGGAATACAGGTCCTAACATTCAATAAAACAGAAATGAAAATCTTGCATCTTACACCCCATTTCTCAATTTTGTCACCCCAAACTAATCTTCTCAGTTTCTAGAGCACATAGCCAAGCACCCCCTCTTTCTCTTTTTCCTGCCCTCTGAAACACTGTATTTTACACAAAATAGTTCACAATATACATATTTTTCTCACCTTGATTTTTTTTAACTTAACAATATGACTAAAGAATATTCTATGTCAGTACATGTAAATCAGTCTCATTATTTATCCTAGCTACACCCTAGATCATTATATAGATGTTCCATATTTAATTAACCAGTCCTTTGTAAATGAGCATGTAGGCTGTTTGCAGGTTTTTGTTACTCTTTTAAAAATTCTGCAACAAATACCCTTGTACATAGGTCTTTGATCATATGCATGAGAATATGATAGATCTTTAGAATAAATTTCTAGGAATTAAATTGCTAGGTCAAACATCATGTGAGCTTAAGATTTTGATAGATATTGCCCTCCAGAAAGGTGAACTCCCACCAGAAAAGGCTGTAGGACTTGCCTACTTCAGTATGTTGTTGTTCAGTCAGTAAGTCCTGTCTGATTCTTTGCGACCTCATGGACTGTCGCATACCAGGCTCCTCTGTCCTCCACTGTCTCCTGGAGTTTGCTCAGATTCATGTCCATTGAGTCAGTGATGCTATTTAACCAACTCATCCTCTGCCACCCCCTTCTCCTTTTGCCTTCAGTCTTCCCAGCATCAGGGTCTGTTCCAATGATTTGGCTCTTTGCATCAGGTGGCCAAAGTATTGGAGCTTCAGCTTCAGTAACAGTCCTTCCTAATGAATATTCAGGGTTTATTTCCTTTAGGATTGAATGGTTTGACCTCCTTGCAGTCCAAGGGATGCTTAACTCTTCTAATAAGTGTAACTTTTCATTTGCCAGTCTGATAAGTGAATAGGCTAGCTCGCTGTAGTTTTAACATGCTTTTAAAAATTATCAGCAAGGCTGAACTTCTCATATTTCTAAAAGTAATCTGCATTTCTTTTTCCTTGACCTGTCTATGTCTATTTTGTGTATAGTAGTATATATATATTTTAATCCCAAATTTGTAATTTATCCCTTCCCCTACTTTCCCTTTGGTAACCATGCATTAATTCTCCATGTTTGTGAGTCTATTTCTGTTTTGTAAATAAATTAATTTGTATCATTGTTTTTTTTAATTCCACATATAAGTGATATCATTTAGCATTTGTCTTTCTCTGCCTTGTTTACTTCACTTAGTAAGATAATCTCTAAGGTCCATCCATGTTAGTGCAAATGGCATTATCTCATTGTTTTTTATGGCTGAATGGTACTCCATTGTATATATGTACCACATCTTCTTTATCCATTCACCTGGTGATGGACACTTAAGTTGCTTCCATGTCTAGACTGTTCTAAATAGTGCTGAAATGAACACTGGGGGGGGGGGGGCATGCATCTTTTTGAATTAGAGTTTTCTTTGGATGTATGCCCAGGAATGGGATTGCTGGGTCTTACAGTGGTTCTATTTTCAGTTTTTTAAGGAACTTCCATACTGTTTTCCATAGTGACTGCACCAATTTATATTCCCACCAACAGTGTGGGAGGGTTCCAGTTTCTCCACACTTTCCAGCATTTATTGTGTGTAGACTTTTTTATGATGGCCACTCTGGTTGGTGTGAAGTGGTACCTCACTGTATTTTTAATTTTTGATAATTAACATTGTATTTTTGATAATTAGAGATGTTGAGCATATTTATTAGATATTTTTTGATTTTTGAGTTTTCTTTATTAACAATAGGTCAAGTCAACCGGTGTCTCTTGCATTTCAGGCAGATTCTTTACCAGCTGAGCTACCAGGGAAGCCCGTCTTTTATTCAAGGGTTCTTTTACATCCTTCAGTATGAATTGATTGTTTTCTTCATGAGAATGTTGTGTAGTTCTTATTCTTTTGTTCTTAAATATCTTCTCTTTATTGATTGCATTTATAAATTAAAACCTTTCTTCTATTTTTTAGCATTATTATATGAATACAAGAGAGTTATTCACATTTGCATATTTAATTCGTATCAGCCTCCTTACTAAATTCTTTTACCATTTGTAACAGTGTTTCACTTACTAAATTCTTTTCTTATTTGTAATAGTTTTCATTTTCATTATCAGGCATACATCATTTGAAAATAATGATCATATTATCTCTTCTTAAAAAATATTTTTTACAATGAACAACACAAAGATAACTTTGGTAATTTTAACTTTTCTGGGACCTGGCAGACATTGAAGGCAGTTGATTATTATTTAGTCATCTGGATCTTTATTTCCATTTCTGGGAACTGTTCACAGAGAATTAATCCAAAAGAAGATTCAAGTTAGGAGAACAGTTGAGTGTGTGATGGTGCAGCCTCTCCAGGGACTGTTACCCAAACTCCATTATGAGAGTTAGAGAGAAAAAAAATAAATGAAATAATTCGTATGATATTAAGTGAGAAGAGCAGAATAAAAAAGAACATGTCTGCACAAAATGATGTCTACTCAAAGCACAAGGACCCTAAAGGAAACTTTTAAAGGATTGATTTTTAGTATGGAGGAAGCAGAGCAATAAGAGAAAGATCAAGACCAATTCAGGAGATGTGTATGGAGAACTGTATCTAAAACCAGTTGGCTGGGTGACTGCTGAGGTGGCATTGTATTCCATGTTTTAACAGATGGCTAGAAGTACAATTATTTTATAGATTATTATTAGACTGAAATGAGGGCGTATTTGTAAAGAACCTCACATGATGTCTGCACAGTATAGCTGCTGGCTTCCTCCTCTTTTTCAGCCTTCTTTTTTCTCTCTTGTCTGATTGCATCAGCTATTCCTCTTACAGCATAGGAACTAACGGTGGGATAATGGACATTCTTATCTTTTTCTCTGAAATGTGTGGACATGCTTTCTGTGTTGTGCCATTAGGCAGAAGGGCTTTTCTTTTGGTTAAAAGGTATCTATTCCTATTTAGTATGTTTTATTCTGTAAAAATATTCATTTATTTTTAATTTATTGAGTTTTTGAAACCTGGGAGTATGTGTTGAATATATTCAAATACCTCTTGAGTACCTCCACAGTCACTCTGATAATTAACTCTTCCCCCAATTCCTGATATAGGTAGTAAGTAGTTCCTTATGTCCAGCTCATTCTTTTCTAATAGTGATGTAACATTTTTATTCTTTTTTCCCTCAAGGGTTTGAGGTCCTGGCTTCTGCTTCCCATTACTGGCCATTGGAAAATGTGGATGGGATCCACGAACTTCAGGAGACAACTGGAGGTAGACAGGGGTGGGAACAGAAATTGGGGCCCCACAAATGTGCATCTCTCAGGAAATCAGGGGCAGTCCAGAGAGACAGGGAACAACAAAGAGCATCAGCTGTGAAGCCAGGATGACAGAGATGAAGGGACATTTGTGTTGCTTCCCCTTAATAATTGTTATTGCAAAGTATTTTCACTAGAATTTTTATATGTTTTAATGATTAAAAGACAGCATTTATGTTTTGAAATATTAAGGTGTGCATTTTCTCCAACAACCTTAAAACAAAAGTTTTCAGCTTTAACCTGTACCCGATGGATCAACCTCTGTATGAGTCAGGATGTATGATTTCCAGGTAGACACAAATGGCATAATCTGCATGCCTGCCAAAGCAGGGGCCCATTTGAACCTAGGGCCAAAGGTTGTGCCAGTGAAGACTAATGCCCTGTTTGTGGGGTCACAGTCTGACTTAGCAAAGGTTCAGATTCGCTTACCCATCAGCTCTTCCATACTTCAATGACAGCCCCCCACCCTCCACCCCCACTCCTTGAGGAGATCAAACACCACCCAAGATGCTTCCAGTGGTCTGCAATGGCATGGAAAATAAAGTTTCTGACTCAGTTCAGACTTTGACCAGAAGGAGAAACTCCAGACAGCCCTGAGTACTTTTTCCATTCTAATAAGATTTTTTAAAGTGTTAAGTTTTGAGTGATTTGGGATGCTCTGACATTTTAATTTTTATTCCTCTTGATTATGTCCAATGACTGATTTGTATAGCAGGAGGTTTATGTACAATCCTAGCACTTGCTCAGATTGTCTGTATTGGTTCTTTGTAATGGATTAAAAAAAACCCCACATTGCTGCTTATTAAGCGTCTCACACCAGCACACTGATTTTTTCCTTATTCCCAGGACTTCATGTGCTGCCATAAATTGTCACCTCAGATTCTAAAATGTCTTTCTTAAACTTTGCAAATCAGGAAGTATTACAGTGGATGTCTCTACTGCTGGCATCCTTAGAGGCACTCAAAGAGCAGGGCCCTCCAGAAGGATGCTGTCCTCCTATGCAGGTCTAACCAAAGCCCTGCCTTCATCCGGCATTATCTCTTACTTGCCTATGTGTTGGGCATCAACGGCAGCCATGATGAAAACTTACATTGAACCATTGCGGCTTCATATATTCTCCAAATAGTCTGTGCTATAGGGATGGACTGTTCCTGTGGCAGTTCATTTTGTGACTATCTTGGGTCAAAAGAAATGGCTTCCCCTTGTCATAATCTAATTTTCTCTTCTCAGGGCTTTTATTTTAAAGCCTTTGAAAGGAGATCATTCCAAGTGGAAAATGCATTGTCAAAATAGCTCCATGTTTAGGAACTGGGTGCTAACATTTCCGTAATTACTTTAAACAAGTGTTCAAATAATGATCCGTATAGTTCTCTCCTCACCCTGTCAACTCATCTCATTGCCATAGGTTATCAGATACAATTACATTGTGGTTGGATTTTGTTCACCCAAAATATTAATTTCCCATAAAACTCAAACTATATGGGTGTTTGTCCTGAAACACTCGAATAATGAAGGTTTCACGGCCCTTTTCCACTGGGTCTATTCTTTATGTTATAGAGCTCTGCTGGTATATTTCAATTTGATTACAGGTTTCTAAGGCAAAAAGAGAAAGGAATAGAATCCATCAGCACATTTTACTGCTGGGGACGGTTGAATGGTGTTGGAAATCATCGCGTGGATGCACTGCTTTATTATTTGTCGCTGAGTTAAATCTCTGTTGTTTCGTCCATTTGTCGTAATAACATGTAGTTGTTTTCATGCTGTGCTTCTGTTTCATCAGTTCTCGCGACATCACAGCCGTTAATCCTTTTTGTTAAGGCTACTTTGTGGTCGAGTTCAATTTCATATCTCTCAACTACGTATCTGAATGGGAGTTGGGCCAGCACATTGGGACCAAATACAACCACCACAGCACCCTGGCTTTGGGACAGCATGGGGCTGCTGGAGGTGCCATAATGTTGACTGAGTCAGTAAGAGGGAGGTGGGGCCAGGAGAGAGAACCCGAGATGTTTGTGGGACGACAGCACACTTGCAGATGTGTGTTATGTTGAGAGATATGTCAGTTCCATTTGTTTTTTGTGTCACTCATTCATTGTGCTTTTTTCTTTTGTTGTTTCACCCAGCATCACGAACCCACAACCTCACTGTGCTCCCTTCTCATAATTCTACCTTTGTTTATACCAATGATTCTGCCTACTCAAATTTCTCTGCAACCGTAGGTGAGCATGTGTTACTTCTGTGTTAAGTTTGGATCTGCAATGAATTGAAAGGCCAATCTGATCTGGTTCTTTATGAATTCACTATGTCTTGACTAGCAAATGAGTGAATATCCCCCCAAGAGCCAAAGATTCAGGGTATTTGATGGTAAGCACCTAAGACCATGACTTAATTCTAAAGGAAATATCACAGACTGAAGGATAGTAGAGGGTGGCTGTGCACGTTCAAGCAACCAGGGTCTTCCAAACCAGCTGCTTATTTTCAGAACAATACAGACATAAGATGAGATAGTTTCCAAAAAATAAACCTTGTTTGGATTTTTAAATGGATTATATTCTTTTGGGAAGGAAAAACATGCCCTTGAAATGGAAAATTAAAGTCAATTTTAAAATACCTCATCAAAAATTTGATATCTTGCAAATACTAAAATCAGCATTTCTTCTGTAGCTGGAATTTTTTTTTTTTTTAAATCATTAGAAGCTGTTTTCTAAAAGACACACCCACAAGAGTCATGGTTAAATGATTATCTTATTTAATAACCTCCAAGGCCCACATGTTTCAGATTTTTCTTAGGCAGCACAGAACAGGACAGATAGTAGCAATTGGGCAACTTTCTGGTCAGTATGGAAAGTTGGCTCAGATAATTTAGGTCTTGCTCCTGACCTTTTTTTACAATATATAACCGATCATTCTTTCTACTATGGGATGATTCACTTCCGAAATTAATTTTGCCAAGCAAATAGTCTGGTTCAGGGGTTTATACAGCCTCATTCAATCCTGCAACTTCAAGTTGCCCATTTTAACTATGTAATATATAGATTCCCCTCCCCCAGCAATAAATGAGATAGATTAAAAAAAAAAGCATTTAAAACATTAAGGAAAGACGTTGAAGTCCTTCAGGTTGGTATCCACATGCCAGTGGTTGTTAGAGAATCTGACCTGGGGTAGTGGTCTAGTCAAAGGGCTCCTGGTGCTTCTGTCCATCTTCAGCTGGACCACCAGCTCCGAGGGCAGGACGCAGCTGCCACAGGGCAGAGGAGGCATCTGGATGGCTTTGATCCCAGTCAACAATGTGTGACTCCTTAGCCTTGGCTTCTATAGTCTTCCCTTATCTATTCTGTAAACCATTTACATCACAATGACACCATCAGAGAGGTCTGCTATCGGGTTGGGACAAACAGAATGATGGCGGAGCTGGCGTCCCTGCCAGGACTACTGGCCCTGCGGTCAGGTCATTGGCAGGCTCTGCTGGGATGACTCGAAGTGTGGCTCTGAGTTTCCCTCCTAGAGCCTGAAAACGAATTCTCTTAAAATCATGGGTTCCCATGTGTCAGATCACGGGCTTTCAGTGAGAGAATTCAGAAGGAGAAAGAGTGCAGGTATAGTTTTACATTTGAACTTGAATCTCAGGGTTTCACCTGGAAGGTCTCATGTGAAGATGACAGTGAGAAGGACTCATGAAGAGGTGGATGGCATGAAAGTTTAGGACAGTAGGAGATTCTAATCATATGGCTCCTGGTATCTCAACTGTTGACAAATACAGTACTTATAATGTGGTCATATTACAGTGCATATTATACACTGGTGTGATATTAATTACTAGGATACAATATTAATAATATAGAATATTATTTAATATTGACACTAATATATTACTTATATATGAATTAGGAAATGTTAAATACCATTAATATTAAATAATATCTGTAATGTCATTGAAAAGAAATATTTAATTATAAATAGAAATAATACAGCATATTTAGATCAAAGTTGTTTTGAAGCCTGACACGTCTCCAGACGTTTCATCTCCTGCAATTATTAATCTGCAATGTTTGCCATTCTTCTTACTTAGATATTATAGAAGGAAAGGTCAACAAAGGCATTTACCTCAAGGAGGGAAAAGGAGTCACCTTTCTCTATTACAGAAAGAACAAAACTTCCTGCATCAGTAATCCGGCACAGTGTGGCCCTGAGGGTGAGTGATGCGCTCCATTCTTTTCTTTCTTTCTTTTAAGTTCATTTCGTTGCCAGGTGGCATCTGTTCCTCTGGGCTGTGGCAGATGTGAAGACAAAGTTCAGCTGCACCATGCATGCATACGGACTTGAGGGGAGGGGTGGGGATGGGGATGAAGAGACTGGTCCTGGAGATGGAATTAAAACACCATTTCACAGAGGCATGAGAGCAAACTATTTAATCTTGTAAAGCAAAAAGAAACAAACAACAACAACCAAACCCCCCAATAAACAGACAAAAAAGAACCGTCCATAAAAAGCAGACACAGTGATGTTGCAGTGGAGTTTGCATGGGACCATGGCGTTTGTGGGCAGGAAATTGATGGTGTGGCTCACGGGACGTTATTTCTGGCTCCAGGATGTTGGCCATGGGTCTGGGCGGGGCATGCCTTTTAAGACTCGTGCCATGGGTTCGCTTCTTTTATGTCCATGGAGATTGGAGGGGGCAGTGGTGAGAGCTGTCCCAACGAAAGGTTGTAGGCCTGTGGTTAAAATAATACCATGGGTGAAACGCATAGGTACAAAAGAGAAGTTAAGAATCTGTTCCTTCTTCTTCCTTTTGTTTTTCTATGAAAAAGTAACCGGCTCTCTAGGATCTGAGCTTCAGAAAATTGAAGATTTGAGCCACATTTCAAAACATTCTGGGAAACTGTTCTCTGCCATCCAAATCAGTTTCAAGCCTCCAAGTTCCCTTATCCTAAGCAACTGAAAATTTTTCTTTCTAGGAAAAAAAAAATGTTTAATGCAAGCGGGTCTGAAAGCCCTAAGTCTTTTTGGACATCCAATGGGCTTATCAAAACTGCCCTGTGATGAATTGATTGTTCTCCACCTCTCTGGGCCCTATGGGTTACATTCCAGTAAAAGTAAACAGAGCTTAACAAGGTGATAACGTGTGGGAGGATACATTTTGGACTTTGCAGAACCCAGAGTTTTGAGAAAGGGATTTGAGGTCTAAAACCACAGCCAGGTTTACAAATCCACAGTTCAAGCTGTTCCTGAATTCAAACAGACCTATAAACACAGCAGAGTTGTTTATTTCTCTAAATTTAAAACAGCCCCGCCTCAGCTACAAGGACTAAGAGAAACAAGAGGGCAGCGGGTGCCTGCCTCACCCTTCCCCTGTCTTGGTCAGGAGGGCGGGGGAGGAGGAGCAGGGTGGGGGTGTGTTTCTGTCCAGTTTGTCTCTGGGTCTGAGAGGGAACAGCCTCTCTTTGGAAGAAAGGTGTCTCTACAGCCCCAGCTACCAACTGGAATTGACTCAGGTGGGAGGGGAAGGCCCCACGAATTCCAGTAGCTGGGCACCGTCACAGATAACCAGCCTTCGAGTGATGACGATGAGAGGACCAGTGGTGACTCTGATAGTGACCAGCTACTGGAAATCAGAACTATTGGAAAACTTTACCTGAATTCTGAGGTCATAAACTAGAGGCCTCTGAGCTCACTCACCCTGCCCTGTGGTTGGGCCTGGTTTTGCAGGCATGGAGTTAAAATTTTTTGATTAGCTGCCAACGTTGAAAAAGAGGACAATTTCACATAAAAATACAAATTCCCAGTTTCTCTTGAGAAATCTCCCTCCCTTATCCCGATCTTGTGAAGCTGAATGGAGGGGCCCTCTCTTGTGTTGGATATTGCCCTTCAGCTCATCACTGACTTCTGACCCTTTGATCACTGGACCTGCTGGACATAGAGCAGGTTAATGGTTTGGGCTCCAGGTCCAGGCAGCCTGGGTTTCAGTGGTGTTCTGATCCTTTCTGTGGTGACCTTGGGCAACCACTTAACTTCTGAGTCCAAATTCCTTACCTGTAACATGGGTCAATCAAAGCCAGATTTTAGTTCCCTGCTCATGGGGTTGTTCTGAAGACTGGCATGTGGCTGGTCCAACACTGACCAGCCTGTTGGGGTCCTATCCTGTATGGGTGCCTCCCAATGTGCCTTCTATCCCCAGGATCTTAGTCCTCACTCTGTCTGCCTGCTCGGATGTGACCCTATGACAGGGGCCGACATGGCTGGACCAATTGTCATAATCACCCACAATCATGCATCGTTTAGTTGGTGCCAGTGTTCTTGGACTGCAAGGAGATCAAACCACTCAATCCTAAAGGAAATCGGTCCTGAATATTCATTGGAAGGACTGATGCTGAAGCTGAAACTCCAGTACTTTCGCCACCTGATGTGAAGAGCTGACCCATTGGAAAAGACCCTGATGCTGGGAAAGATTGAAGGCAGGAGAAGAAGGGGACAACAGAGGATGAGGTGGTTGGATGGCATCACCCACTCGACGGACATGAGTTTGAGCAAGCTCCGGGAGTTGGTGATGGACAGGGAAGCCTGGCATGCTGCAGTCCATGGAGTCGCAGAGAGTTGGACATGACTGAGCGACTGAACTGAACTAAACTGAGTGTTCTAATCCCATTACATGTAGTAATTTCATCCTCCAAAAAAATGAGACAGACAAGAGCTCACGTGGTATAGAGAGCTGTAACCTTTGGCTTCATGTTTCCACCCTGTTGATACCTTCTTATGTGTTCTGGTTAACTGAAGCCTTTGAAGGTATTTTTTTTGGGTGGCCACTTTTCTAGAGTATGGCCAGATATGTGGTGAAGCCAGGAAACCTCAAGTCAACTTTGGCCCCCTGAGACCATGCTAGCAGGCGTCTTAATGTGGCAGATGCTGAGGGAAGTTGGGTATATCTTGCTCCATATACCTTCCTCAGTTTGGACTTCAGACAGGACCACCGAACATGGGTGTCATCCTAAGGATCACTGTAAGCATTTCTCCATTTTATTGACCATATCCTTTGCTCTTTGGGGGTTTCCCTGGGGCCTCAATGAGTTTGCATTTCTATGTTTAAGGAGAACAGGATTTGAACAGGAGAAGTCCATCCAACATTTTTCAAATCAAACTCCACATGGCTTTTGAAGTAGGTGAGATGATTTCAAGAGCACTTTTAGTGATTAAACACATTTTTTTTTTTTTTTTTTGCTTTGCTGGATCTTTGTTGTTGCTTGAAGTCTTTCTCTAGTTGCAGAGAGCAGGGGTTACTCGGTAGTTGCAGAGCTGGGATTATATATATATATATATATATATATATATATGTATGTATGTATGTATGTATGTTTGGCTGTGCTGTGTGACATGTGGGATCTTAGTTCCCTAACCAGAGATTGAACCCAGGCCCTGGCAATGAAAGCACAGAGTCCTAACCACTGGACCACCAGGGAATTCCCTCAACACTTAAAGAGAGAAACACTTCCCACACCCAGTGGAGCAGGTCAATTGTTTTCATATTTGTGATTTCCCAATTCTCTTGTGGTCTCTCTTCATATTTTTGGCTGATTTTATTTTTTTTTAAGACCATTATAGGAGACAGGGTTGAGGTTTGAACTTTTCAAAAAAGGATAAAACATCTGAGCAATTTAGCTGTTCCCTCTCCGAGTTCTCAGCTAGAACGTGGGATCTTCCTTCTCTGCCAGCTGCTCACTCTGAGATTTCGAACCCATAACCTGCTTGTCTTAGGGCGTTTCTCCACCCACTTGGCCAGTTTCTCTTGTTTCTCTGAGCTGACTGTGTGACCTGCCTTTTGGCAAATTGTGCCTCCTGGGAAATTTCCTCATGGGCGTTGGGTACAAATGGGAGAGAGGCTCTGGAGGATCCTTTGAGAGAGAAAGTCTATTTGAACATTAACCAGAGAAAGCACAGTCTGTGTTCCTTCAATACTGAGGCAGCTCTCCTCCAATTCCCACGACCAGCAGACACACAAGGCAGAAATCCACATGAGGAGGGAGTCCTCCCGCAGTGTTCCAGCACCTTGTTTCACTCCCCTGTAAACCTTATTTTAATTTTATTGTTTTATTGGCTTTGCTGGGTCTTTGTTGAGGCATGTGGGCTTTCTTCAGTTGCTTTGCACAGACTTAGTTACCCCTCAGCATGTGGGATCTTAGTTCCCCGACCAGGGATTGAACGCACATCCCTTGCATTGGAAGGTAGATTCTTAGCCAGTTGGAAAGTGGATTCTTAACCACTGGACCACCAGGGAAGTCCTCCCTATAGACCTTGAGGGCTCAGCTCCAGTGTGGCTCTTACGAGATGAGTCCCACACCAGTTGCGTTCCTCTTTGCTCTCACGGGTCCCTGAATGTCCCCCTCTGTCCCTTGCATCTTTGGTGATGACCTGCCCATTATGTGTCCTCCTTCTTGGACATTTAGCTCTGCAAGGGCAGGGACCCTGTCTGTCTTGGTTACTGTTGTGTTTTCAGGGATGAATATCAGCTCGATAGATGCTTGATCCCTATCCATTGAACAGATACATCGAGTCTGTCTTTCTGATGCTTAAATGCCTTTGAATGCTTCCCCAGCACATATTTGATGGGCCGTCATTTGCGTATCACTTGTGATGAGTCCTTCTCCATCCTGAATGGGCCAGTCCCGTTTTTGCACCCCTCTGACTTTTAGATACTTCTTTCTGATATTGTACTAAATTCCATTTTGAGTAATTACCTCTAATTCCACTTCAACTCCCAATCACCTTGGATGCCTGCTAGAAAGAACTTCTTCCTGTTTTACTTGGTAATTTTTCTCCCTCTGGAAATGTACCCTTCTTTTTTCCCTCTTGTGCATTAGAACTTCCTCTGCTTATAAACACCAAGAAACCTGCTACAGCTCCATAGCAGCAGCTGGAATATCTCAGCATCCACATTCTCTTCTCAGCATCGACAGGACTTTTTAGACCCTTTGCATTAGGTCACTAACTTCAACTTTGCATTAGGTCACTAACTTCAATGCCATCAACAAAATGGTAAAATATTCAAAAATTTCCAGCAGGGCCTGACAGTTCAGCACAGATTCAACTTCTGTCTTCCTTAGATGACTGGGGGTTTTAGGGATGTTTGAAAGCCTGATGGAGCTTCAGAGAGAAGTATTCATTCACCATGTCCATTTCACAGATGGGCAGACTGAGGTCCAG